GTGCCACATCTCGGGTATTCTGTACCTGCACCCTGAAACAGGTCTTTTATGAGCCAAATTCAGCACATACTTATCTTGGCGGAAAGAGATGCATTGGTCTCAAAGTTATCCCATGATCTAATTTCACAACTTTATTGAGCTTATTCATGTTTTATACAGACAGTGCTCCCCAAAACACCCAATACAAAAGGTCAGCACACTCTCAATGTTTCAAGTTTCTTTAAAAGTAAAAACGTTTTTGGGTCTTTGCAAATCTTCCATAAGTGATAGTATTCCATGTCAATAATCACATCCAAAGACTTTCACTCCTGCACAGTTTCAATGGCAGTATAGTCCATAATTATGGAAGAAAAAGAGAGGAAGTTCTCCTGAAATCAATAACCATTTCTCTAGTTTTCTTTGTGTTTCAAATCAGAGATACCGAGTCAACAGTTGTAGCTGTGGTTTATCTCAGTTCTGTAATTTATCTCATTGTCACTTTCAGGTCTATCAGAGCAACATCATCTGCAAATTTTAATCATAGTGCAGTTATCCTGAGGTGTAACATGAATCAAATCAATCTTTGTCTTTTAAACTTAATATCCAGCATCATATAAAGAAATCAAAGCTGAGGCTGGGCGTCTATTTTAGAAATAAATCATGTTTTCATTTTGCTGTGGCTTTTATGCCCCTGATTGATTATAATGATGTTTTATAAATGCATACATCCACTCTGCAGATACTGATTACCATGGAGCTCTGAGTCACATTGTGACTGGATCCTACACTCTTCCATAAGTGGGTCAAAAATACCCCATGATAAAACCATTATATTTAACCATTTTTTGTCAAGAAATATTGTTTGTATTTCATAATTTTGATTTGGTCAGTTTCCATACTTGAAAAATAAAATACCAAATATACTTAATTTGTGGATGTGAGTCCTTGTGTTTGCGTGCATGTTTATGTTCCAGCTTGTTATGCAAAAGCTTTTTCTGAGAAATTAAGAAATTTAACATTTTCATTCAGCAGGCTAAAAATGAGCATTTATCTGTTGTTCACATTTTCTGCTCATTAAACAAGTCTCGTTCTCCATAAGCCCACACAGTGTAACAGTTTGTAGTTGTACTGTTACTGTTTTCATCTGAAACTTATTGTCCATGTTGTGCAGCGTATTGTTCCTGTAAAATATTTTAATATTTTTAATTTTCTTTATCGACACAATATCAAAAAACTGTTAAAATGATAGTAGCTAAAAGATTGGCATTCAGGCATCATGGTCTGTTTTACAACAATCCACAACAAAGGCATTTACTGTTATTGCACTGTGATAGAATTTGTTTTTCTGGCTTCATGATCAAGAACAAAAACATCATCAGTAGTAATGTTCAGTTTGGAGGCTGTCAGATACTTGATGACATATTTTTACTCTGACTTTCACTTACTATAGAGAGATGGATGTCTCATTGTTGTGGCGGATGGACTGTTTGGACTTCCATGAAAAAAAAAATCCTCTGGAAGTAGCCTTGAAGCCCCCAAGCACTTCAACCAGTTTTTCTGCACCCAGGACATTGTTGATGCTTTTACTGAAGAAAGGCAGCATACTTCTGAGCATGTATATGCATGTATGTATATACTTTTATTATGAACTGATATGTACACCGATATGCACGAGGCACAGCAGGACATGCTGAAAGTATTGATCAGGATCAAATCATGACCAAGGTATTTATATATTTATATATATATATATACACACACACACACATATATAAATATATATATATATATATATATATATACACACACACACACACACACACATATAAATATATATATATATACATATATACACACACACACACACACACACACACACACACACACACACACACACACACACACACACACACACACATATATATATATATACATACATATATGTATATAAAGATAGATGGCTCTTTACTTAATTTTGTTGCCTGATCACATAGCTGTATATTATACTGAGTGTCTAATGAATAATGTTAAACACATGTACTCTCTTTGGTTGTGTGAGTGTGGCTGTTTCTGCATGTACTGGACAGAGTGCACATAAAATGAAAGATTCCTGGTAGAGTCAGGCCTGTGAAGGGCTTAGATGAAGCAGTTGTGTGAAGGGATAGCATGTCTTTGCATGTCCTCATCGTCTGGCATCCCTTGATTACCTCGTATGAGGGCAGTATCTCACCTAAGAAGATGCAGGAAGTAAAATACCAGTGTGTTCAAGCCCTCTGTCTGAAAGGTTCTGCTTTTCTGTGTAAAAAGTAAAGACATGTTCATATCAAACTTTTGTTCTGATTTTACAATCCCGCTGAAACACCCCTCAGAAAATTCTTTTAATACTCAGCCTTAAAAGATATTGCTGGAGTAAAAGGAATTACATTACCTCATGTGTTTCACCCACACCCACACACACTCTCCTCTCTTTGTTCCTGATGGAGGTCTTGGCAGTCAACACTGGAGGGACTGGATCTAAAAACGAGGGCAGCAGCAGCTGCCTGAGACCAAGGAAACCACAGCACTGTAACGTTTTCATGTGTCCCATTAGGCTATGAATTGTGGGAAGGATTATCAACAGGGGGCAAACAGGAACTGGCCTAACTCATCCCAATGGTCCCTGTGGTGGCTGCAGTTCAGGCTTTTATTGGGACCAAAAAGCGCTGCCTCAGCGTCACAGCAGAGAGGAGCAGATGAAGACAGCTGGCTATGACGGGTCTCTGTGCCAGGTGTGAAGGGTCAGAGCTGGAATAACCTGCAGCCCATCCCCACAACCAGGGGGAAACCCTACCTCTAATACCCATGATATTAATAAGAGATGTTCGACTGCCAATGTGCGCTTCCCGACTGCTGTGCACAGGTACACAGTGTTGTAATCACAAGATTCTTGACATTAATGTGCATTACTTACAAAGTACATCTACCGATGGTTAGCGGTGTAAATGAGGTGCATCCAGGGACACAAAGGTGGAGGGTTTACTGCATCCTTTTAAAATGTTATGCTTCAGGGCTGCAGGATGTGTACAACCTTACTTTGCATTAACTTACTCATAATAACAGTAGGTCATCCACTTATTCTTTGCTTAAGTATATAATACAGGTTGTAAAGGGTTGTGATGGTTGATGTATTAATTGTAACACAGTAAACCATCCATTTTCTACAGCCAATCCCATTGCGGGGTCGCAGGGGGGTGCTGGGGCCTATCTCAGCATCTTGGGGGGAAGGCAGGGGACACCCTGGGGTCAGAGCTGGAATTCCATTCCATTAATTGCAAGTATTTCCCCCCTTCAACGAAATTAAAGCTCTACAAGTGTTGCAAGTAGCACCGGTATCATCTTTTTGCGTGAAATACAGCCAAACTCTGGAGTGCTTTTGCCTCGACGCCATGCTGGAAAGCATGAACCAAAACAGACTTCTCTGAACCTAAACACATTTTTCACATCCTACGTCATCACGCATAGAGATGAAAGAGGAACCGATAAGCAGAATCGTTAAGGAGGCAGACAAACAATTCATAGAAATCGCATAACTGGGAACACTGGGATTCTCATCCCTAATCTGGACAGTTTTTAAAAATATACTGATCTTCTGTGTGGGAAAGAAAAGTCTTTATGTTGCAGATACACAGTGTTTATCACCTGAGAGCTGCCGGTCTCAAAAAGTGAGTGGATTTTACAGTCAATTGCTATACTTCTCTAAACCCAGGATATAAGACCATCCCACCTTCTGTCAGATGAAGAGGGAAAAGGACGGGAAAAAAAAACACTGCCGCATATTCAGGTAAATACAGTATTTTTTTTCCTCTGTTGATGATGCATGTGACCTTACACTGGAGCTCTGCAGATCTTCATTCCTCTCCGCTAATAAGTAAATTACAACCTCACTTCAAAAAATACAAATAAAAACAAAGGCGCTCCCTGCAGGGACCTGAGTTTCTCATTTTCGAGAGAGAAGCAGCTGTTGTTTAAAGCTGTTTAAAGGCGTCTCTGCTCTCTGCGTATGTATTCTCACCAAACGTCTGTGTGTCTTATTAACCAAAGGACTACCTTTGTCAGAGGCTCTAACACGATATTGTGACCATCACGGCGTTGCCTTGCAGCTCTTGCCTTAGAGCCTGTTTGTGTGGGCGCTCATCTGTTTTTGTGCTTTTCATGTTGCACGCTGCAGCGAGCAATATTTTTGTGCTTTTAACATTTGGACAGCCTACGTTTAAAGTGCTGTTTAACCTTTCAAAGCGCTGCGAAGGCTCCCAGCAACATTTGAATAATACTGTCTCTGCCAACATTTTTACCTCTTTCTGTGCTGGGAGAGGCTCACGGGCGGGCGATGATATACAGCTTAGCACATCAAAAAAAGACAAGGCTATATTTAGGGTTCAAGCGAACGTGTATATTTATTTTTAAAACAAATGTTTATTATTCCTTTTTATCACCCGGCCTCTTGAAAAACATGTCAGTTACAATCCTTTCCTCTCTCCCCTCTGTTTCCCTCCATATTAAAAACTCATGAGAGATATTTAAACAGTAAAAGGGATGCTTAAGGAGGCGGATGGAGATAAACTTTGGGCCCTGTGTATTTTCAATCTCAGCCATTCCCTGGGGCCCTTACTTTACCGCCTTTAAGAGAATACAAATCACTTCAATTATTCAAACCTCCAGAGAGCACAGGGGGAATAAAAACTAATACAGCAGGCAGAAAAACAGATAAATAAACCTATGTGTAAACAAACTCTGCACGCATTAATTACACATTTCAAAAGGCAGCAAGGAGGATGCTGCTAGCCGAGAAGAAAGCATAACTTTGCAGAGTGTTTTATTGGGCCTGCTGTTGTTGCCATGCCTCACCTACCATGGAGTAATAAGCCCACACAGATAAACAAAGCAAGTCCCTTGATATGTTGGAGTGAAACATCTTCCTTTTTTCCTCGCCTTTTGTCATCCTGCATTTGATCTGAGATGCTTTAGTCATATCGTACACAAGGATGGCTGCGGCTTTCGTGGGAGGAGGATGTTTACGAGTCGGAGCACCGTGCAGAAAAGAGCGTCGAGGAAACAGTGACCTACTTTTCGGTTCTGTGATCCTGCAAAACGACGGCAGCAGAGCAGTGCTAGAAAACCCTCAACCTGCTGGACAGAGGGAACAAGAGGCTCCTTTGAAAAAAGAGGACATCCTGAGAGTGACTGCCGCTGAGCTTTTCACAGCTCGCATGGGAACACAGGGCTCTGAATGCACTCTGCTCACTGACACACACACACACACACACACACACAGAGAGACCCTGAAAGTGCTACTCTGTGGTGGTTATATTGATCCATGAACTGTGGTATCTGTGTGGGTTTGTCCCTTTGGGATAAGGAGCGTGCATTTGTACAAATTTGGGTTGCAACAAGTGCTGTGATGATACACGGAGCTGAAGATTCTACATGCTGGATTCACACTAACTGTGTTAGTTACACAGTTATTGTGTGAGAATTACAAAGGAGATTTGCCTGCGAAAGTAATGTTAAAGCCAGAATGTAAATCTTGATACCATAAGTAGAGCTCCCCCTGGTGAGTAGCGGCACTGTAGGTCATAAATTTCAACTCTCTCATGTTTACAGATGGGAAAATAGCCAAACTACAGAATTCCTGAAGTCTATGTCCAAGGCAACATAATTCACTTTTTTTTTTTCTTCTGGCAAGTCTGAATTAACTTAAATTAAAACAGATGTGATATGAACGACAGCTCTGTTGACAATGAAGCTCTTTATGAAGCTCTTGTGCACCAGATTATTTGAGAAGAGGATGAATGGTAGAAGGAGATAATAAACAAGACAACACAAAAATCACAGGACTACACAAAATGTGAGAGTCTGCTTTTAACTAACACAATACCTTGGTCTACTGTGGACTGGATGCACGTGAGAGAGCTTTAACATGAGGGAGCTTAGATGTGGACAAGACCCACCTGAGGGATTATTGATTTGTGCTCTACCTGACTGAATGAGTTTTAACATTAACTGTACTCAGCGGAGGGAGCTTTAGCATAGACAAGACACACCTAAGGGAGTAGTGACCTGGAATGGGTTTTCACATGGACTGGACCCACCTGAGCAGTTATCGATGTGGACTAGACCCCCTGAAGGAGCATTGACATTGACTGGACCTCCCTGGAGGGCAGGGAGCTTTGGCGTGAACTTGTGTGTCCAGCCCAGTCAATGATTTTTTTATACATGATCTATTTCATCACATGCTTTAGATGACACAGTCAGGAGACATGATGTGCGAGAAGTTTACTGTTGTACATTATAATTCACTTTTCTGCAGGCCGATAAAAGGACAGTGAGAGAGAGAGAGAGAGAGAGAGAGAGAGAGAGAGGAACAGTGATTTCAGAATCCTTTTCCATTGTTTTATCAGTGTTTGTGTCAGAAAAGTCAGCCTGTTACCTGCTGAGTGAAGGCAGAGTCAGCGAGCATGAGTCCCTCACATGACATTTTACGACACCATGATGAAAAATAATCTGTTTTTGAGCAGCTTTGCTATAAAACCACCACCTCTAGATTTATGCCCTTTCTGTCTTGGAAGACATATTTAAAAGTTTTGTACTTTCTCAGCAGCTTTTCTTGGACAAAGTTATGCATTAAAGTTGTAAACAATTTAACCTGCAAGTTGCACTTGAACTTACTTAAAAGAAAAAGACTACTTGTGATTTTTCACATAAAAGAAGCTGCAAACAAAGAATCTGTTGCATGATAATTTAGTAATGTTTATTGATTTGCTTTTGAGTGTTTTACTCATTAAAAGATTTTGTCTTTCAGCCCTGAAGGTATTCAAGCACAGTATCAAATAGACCTGAGGCGGTTATTAAAAGTTGTAGCCCAATAGCTCAGTCATTATATGAATCAGGCATGCATAGCTTACACTACTGTTTTCAGCATAATTTATCCCTCTGGACTTCACAGTGACTGAGCCTTGCACAAGTTTTTCAAATATTTCTTAAACACCAAAATGTGAAGTCTTTCCTTTAAACTGTTATTAGTTTAAGTTGTTGTCTACACTTGGGGAAGAGGTACCCATAATTGGTTTACATAGGTGTAAAATATATATTATATCATGATTATGTGAATCCTTGTGTGGCATGTTGGGTGTGTCAAGAATAAAACAATGAACTGAAAAGATCAAAACTGTTTTCTGATACCGACTGTGAACATGCTCTTGCCTGCTCTAAGTATCACATTTTTAACAGTGGGCTCTATGGGGACTGACAAACTTTGAGATCTAGCCTCTAGTGGACACTTGAAGAACTGCAGATTTTTGCTCTTCCATGACAGCTTCACTTTTCAACATTGGAGGTTGCTGCTTGAGGAAATGTTCTGTGCCAAAATGTGAAGCAGTACCAGACATGTACTCAGGGGGGCGATCTTTCCCCCCTCAAGTCTGTGTCCTAAAGGACCACAAATGTCCACCTATGTAGTCCTGACATGAACAAAACATAACTTCCCTCTGGATGCCATTCCAGTGTATACATCATAAAACTCTGCCATCTTTGTTCCCCAAAGTCTATTAAATCTAAAAAAAAAATCCACCTGGATGCCTCCCCCCAAAAAATATATGAGATGAAAAGGGTCTTCTAGATGCACATCTGATAGATGAAACGTTGGGTAAAACATGTGAAGTATAAAAGATGCACTTCTAGCATCTAAAACTTAGAAAAAGAGCCATATGGATTCCCTACCAGATTATTTCAGGGTAAAAGGTGCTCCAGAGACCCTACCGGTGTATTTAACATAAGAATGTGTCCTACAGATGTACAGAAATTTAAAATAGGGCCCTCTTGATGCCCTACCTGAATATTTTAGTTAGAGTGGTACTTTTTGAATGCCCTGCCAGAATGTTGATCATTATTAAACAATTATAAAATGTTAAGAAATTCCCTCTGGATCTCCACCCATTGAATGCCATGAGCTTTTGTGTTTTGTGAACCTATGTAATGTACTTGATGTATAGAATTTGTGAAAACAAATTTCCCAGAAGGGACAATAAACTAACCAACTAACTAACACTGGAGAAAAAAAATTGAAAAAAGGCCCCTACCAGAATATAACCATAAAAACTGTCCTCTTTATGAAAAGACAAAGACCACTAAGCACTCATAAAGGACCTTCTGGGGGCACTACCAGAATGTAAAACATGAAAAGTGCCAAATGGATGCCCTTCCTTAATATTAAACATATAACAGTGCCTTCTAGTTGCCCTTCCAGAACATGAAATGTAAAATGTGTCTTCTAGATGCCCTTAAAATGGATAATACGTGACAACGTGCTCTGTTGGTAACGGTGTAAAATTGATTTATTTTACATTACCTGACTTGTTAGCTTCATGCAGGAGGTAGCATCATTTTTGGGATAATTATGTTTTCATAGTAAATTGTTTTCCTTTTAAATTTCAACCTCTAAACAGTGCACATATATTTATCTAATTGTTGGGAAGTAATGCTGGAGGTAAACCGTTTGTTGTTTTTGCACCACGCCTCTAACAACCTGAGCAGTACCTACCAGGCTGCTACCAGAGATGGACGGGAGAAAAAGAAAAAAAGATTAAAATTTGGTTTGGGACTGAGCAGGGAGTGTACAACTTTTTTGACATTTTTGGCTGAAAATTAAAGAATCTGTCAAGGTGCTGGCAATGAAACTCAATAAATGAGATTTAAAAGGTTAAAAAGTTTCAGCTTTGAGCTGAGGGGTAACTTCTCTGTCCCTTGACTTCTTCTCCATGAGAAATGGCGTCAGGTCTGTGTTCACTGTATTTAAACTGATATAGCATACTTACATAAGATCAGACCCGTGTCCATCTGACATGAGGTAAATGTCAAAGACAAGAAGAAAACCACTTTATGGCATCAGTGTCATGGTGGGGATCAGACCCTCGCCATCACAGAGACACAGAGGCAGGCTGGGTGACATTTGACTGTGTCTGAGGGTGGAAGCGTGACCTGAAGGTGCTGTTGGTGCACAGCGAAGGCGGCGGGGGTTTATTCGTTCCTTTGTTTTTTTCTGTGTCGGATAAATGTCACGACGGCGAGCGTACACAGAGAAAGCAACAGGAACAAAAGCCCACCGGCGTCCAGCGCTGGTTGTAAACCTGCTGTGACACAACCCCCGTATGCGTGCCTATTTATAACCACATTCTCCCAACATGCCTTGCAGAGCGGAGAGCGAGGCCATCATATATTTCACCGGCTCATAACTGTCCTCTGTTATGAGCTTCTATTGACAAAACAGCAACTGCAAGAGCGAAGCAGCAGTGCTCCTGTGCGCACTTTCAGTGTTTTTCCAGCGTAAATATGCCCGTGGGTGAGAGTATGTGGAGGTGCTTCAGTCTGGGCCCAATCTGCAGGTTCACCGAATAGCCCACTCCTCCTGTAATTTCTGATGTTTTAGACGGTGGTCTTGATTTATGCTTCAACAATACCAACCCCCATGTACCTGCTGCCTAATCCTCTCCACGCTGAATGAGAGGCTGATTAGTAATGCATGGGGCCTCTTGCAGCACGGCCTCGCCATTGTTGATTCTGCTGACGAGGCGGGTTGCCGGATGGTCGGACGGCTGCTGAGAAGGAGGGATGGCCAGAGTGAAGCGGAGGTGGGAGGAGGGGAGGTGGAGGAGGGAGGGGGCTTTAAAGAAAAAATGAAAAATGAGCGGCAATAACAAAAGAAATCAAACAACAAGAAATAGAAGTAAGGGTGGAAAGAGAAAAAAAGAAAAGGTGAGCGAGAGAGCAAACAGATGTGCATAAACAATGTGGCCTAAAGTATTTGGACAGTACTGTGTTTGTGCTGTAGGACTGGTGTCATTTAAAGCAGAGGGATGCAAAAATACTACTGTCTACTACTGAAGAAGAAGAAGGAGAAGAAGAAAGAGAAGAAGAAGACGCATCAACAGCTCAGCTAGTGGCCCAGATGGTCATACAATGAAGTTATAGTTACCCTTCTCATGTCATTTCTAAGCGCTGTTATCTCTCTGATTGGTTCACAGCAGGGCTGTCACAGAATACATGAATTTATGAGGATCATCTTCATTAAAAATGAAGTAATATTGATATTGCATTATGAAAAAAGCACCAACACTGGATTCTGTATAATCCTGGGCTTATATTGCATTACTCTTAATACAATTTTACAGGCAATGTAAAATTCCCAGAGTCATGTCATTCTATAACATCATGAGGGTTTTGGGCAGCCCTGCCTGTGACCCAAACTCCTGCGCTGCTGCTTTCTTCGTTGTTGTTGACATGTTGTGTCATTCACAGCAAAGACTGTTTTTCTATGAGGACACAG